GAATTCGTTCGATTTCGATCGATTTAATTGATTTAAATCGATTTTTACTCACCCTTATTGATCCAAGCAATTCCTCAAACATCCATTTGGACTAATTGAAGACCTTCCACGTGACAACTTCGACAACTAGTGTGATTTTCTAAGCATGAAGAATTTTCAATTTTCGTTTCATTTGCTTTTTTTCTTTTAGGGAGTATGGAAATTCCAACTTAATCTTTGAATAGATAAATATATGTATTTAGTATTATTAAGTCAAATGTTTGAGTGCATTTATTTTTTTTATACCCAAAAAGTTATTAAATTTTGAATTAATCTAATAGTTCTTCATTCTACAAATCTTATCTCTTTTCTTCAAGAATGCTAAACTAAGCCCAAGTAAGATATGTATAGTCTAGTATACTAGGCAAAATAATACACATTTGTTCATCTCTTCAACTAATTCTACGAACCCCATTAGAATTAAAAATTGAAAAAAAGAAAAGTAAATTATTATACAAATTCATCGCATATTTTTCATATATATATATATATGTTTGGGGTAAGGAGCGACGTACATCGAAGAGTGGTTGGGTGATGCTAATATGGGGTGATGCCACGGCAATATTTTAAATGAAATTATTAGCCAATCAATAGTAGAAATCAAGAATGGAATAATTAATTAAGACAAAAACCTCTTGATTTTGTTTGAACCACATCATATGGGCACAGTCTAGTAGCTGGAATTATCTTAGGTGGTTCCATTAAACAAACTGAATTTTCATTTTTAAAATGAGTTGCTGGTAAAATTTAAGATTTAAGTTTCCAATTTGAATTAACTCAAGCTTTTTTTTTTTTTAATCTATTAGCATGTGTTAATTTATTATTATTATCTTAATTGATTCATACATACATATATATATATGTTGATTTTACTTTAAAACTTTAATTTGTGTAATGTTCGCATTTCAAAAGTTGATTTTAGTTTATTTATATTTAAAGATAATAGTGCGTTTAATTTTTTTCAATGTATTATATCTATTTTAAAAAATATTTAATATAATATTTATATTATCAAATCATGATACTTTGAAATTTTCATACCAACAAAAATATATAAAATTGTTAACCTTTTAACAGACCTTAAAATTATTTCAAAGCTTTCCTAATTAAGATAATATAATGTTTATCATATGGCAATAGGTGGCTCCTGATGTAGTGAACGTGCTCCATATTTAGGAAAAAAAAAAGTGATCATATGGTCATACTCTTAATAGTAAAGGCATTTAGATATAATATTTTAACATATTAAAGAGGGTTTTTTTAGTAATTTTTTGTCAATTAGTTTTTTTTTTTAGAAAAAGAAGCCTAAAATCGTTTGTGTGATATTTCATGACAAGATTTGAGAGCGTCAATCAGTCAATCTTCCATGAACGTATGATTGAGAGGAAAATGTTATTGTCGGTGGTGGAAAAAATTAGTGTGGTCACCTCTCTCATTTGCATAATGTCCTTTCCCATGATTCAACCTTATAAAGCAAAACATTTAATAATACCATATTCTTAAAGTACATATAAACTAAGCAAATTAAAATTAGCTTTGCCTAAAATAATGCATATGCTTGGCTGTCGAATGCAAACTGTTGGTTGGCCAAAATTATAATTAGAGTTGATAATGAATTGAGTTAGAATAAATTTTTATTCGTTTTGAATTTGATTCGATTTTATAATTATAAAATTTAAATTTAATTTGATTTAATTTTTTTAAATTTTTTATATTCGAACTTGATCTGATTCAATTTGATTTAAAATTAATAAAATATTATTTTTAAAATATAAATAATAAATTAAAAATTAAAAATAATTTTTTATATAACATCAAATAAAACTTGTCTAAAATTTAAACTCAATCTAAACTCTTTTTTTTTTTTAATAATACTCTATCTAATTTGATTTAATATCTTATTTAAAAAAATTAATCTTACAAAATTAGATTGAATCAAAATTCATTATATATGAATTGAATTGTGACACCAAAATCTCAAGCGTGTGGAGGAAAGCATGACTGTCGACCTATAAAAGTCAACAAATTCGCATGAATCTCTTTCATAAGTAGCATGATCTTACATTCACCTGTCTTGGGACCAGTCAATCTATCTGAACTTTTAATTAAATAAATAAACAAATATATCCCCTTCGTACTTAAATTAATTGCTAATCTTTATTAATAATATAGCATTGCTCCATTCAGAAAACTTACATTTAATAGTTGGTAGCTTGGGATAAAATTCAATGCAAGCAATCTTGTACAAAGATTTGTTTTTGCTTTTTCAGACATCCAGTTACTGAGTGGCCACCATTTCTGGTTTCTTCAATTAATTAAGAGTAAATGGTATGCATGCTCCGGAATTTTTGTGTTGAATACCGTTTTAATTCTTAATCTTCAAACGTAATTTGCTGGTATCGATTGTTATAACGTGAATTATTTTGATTCTTTCTATTTGCTGAAATCTTCAATTCGTGCCACCGATTAACAAGTACACACTTGAATCATTTTACTTTTTTTTAAAAGAAATATTATTTTTTGAAAAAGAAAAAAAAAGAAAGTTTTACAGTGATAATCTTTGTTGTCTCTTTCCTGTCTACAATGAGCGAGGAGAAAGAAACAAAAATTCCAATGTTTACAATTACAAAGAACGGAGCAATTCTCAAGAACATTTTTTTCATCGACAAACCAAATAAATTTCGATTGTTGGTAAACACCCATACTGCAACATCTCCTAGCAGCAACAAATTCCACCTCCAAATTCACTCCAAGCTCTCTTCCCAAACGCCCGACTCATCATTTTGTGGTAAATTCCCTTCTTTTTCTTTCAATTTTCTCATGCTTCTTTTAATAATTTTTTTTTTTTTTGTGTTTTATTCAAGTTTCATTGGTTTTTTTTTTTTTGGTGTTGATTATCTTGTTGTTTACGACGGGTACAACCTACGGGACCTGAGTTTTAGGAAAGAAGATTGACCCGGGAATTGTGATGGAACTGAATGAAGGTAACTTGTTTCGTCGTCATCTTCATTGCCATCCTTGTTTTTTTGTTCATGTAGATTGTAAGAATTAGGCCCTAACTCCTAATCTAGTGAATTTAGGGTTTCTTTCAGATTTTAGAGGTGTAAAGATATTTTCTTTAGGAGTATCTATCATTTTCTAATTAGTTTTTGAAAAACTAATGGGTAACAGTAGCCGATGTTGACACTTAAGCTCAATATATTATATTATATTCTATTTTTTTTACAAAATTTATTATATTATTTAAATATAAAAATAATATATTAATAATAAAAAGTAACAAACTCATAAAATTATAAAATAAAAATATTATTATGATAACAATAAATTTTAAAAAAATCAATAATTTCAAATTAATGATGTAATTAATAATTACGCAAAATTTCAGTGAATTATGAAAATTTTTTATTCTTTTGATAATTTAAAATTAAAAATATAAATAAATCAATTGTAAGCAATAATTTTTTTATCAAAATAAAGTTGGAATTTTGGAATTCAAAGTTATGTTCAAAATTTTTATAACGTGGTTTTATTTATTTTATTTTTTTAATTTGTAAGACAACATAAAATAAAGATCTTGAGTAAAATCAAAATTAAAAAATTATACGGAGAGGAAAAATTATAATAAGTTATAAAGAAAAGAAAAAATGCATTTGAGATTTGGTTAAAAATTTAAAATCTTGTTAAGGAAATTAAAAAATTAATTAGATTTTGTTCAATTTGTATGATTATAAGTTAAAATTTGTGATAAATTTTTTTATTTTAGAGATTTATAATTAGTAATTAACAGGTATAATAATAAATAAAGAAATAGTAATATAATTTCAATCCTCTTAAATTATAATATATAAAATTAAATTTAAATAAATAAAATTAACAATAACAAAAACTTACCAAAATTTGAATTAATGATATGTTTTTTAATTTAATTTTTTTAAAAAAATAAAATGTCAGTTCATTCATTACATTTAACTTCATATGACCCCTTGATTAAAAGAAAGGGTAAGAATTGAATTTCACTATCTTTGGTGATGGATGAGTAACTGAGAAAGAAGCTTCCCAAACATGATTGATTAAAAAAAATGATTTACTACAATTTCTATTATAAAATTATTAAAAAAAAATTGGATGAGTTGTTTGATTGTTTCCCTTCTATATTATTTTTCCACATTATGGGAACATAGTATATGGAAGAGATCAATAGTACATGATCCTAGGATTTAATTGAAGCCTACATTTTGGAAAATACATGCATACAACAAGTTAGGACATCAAATCTATGATGTCACATGCCATTAACTTTCAACTATTATTTTGGACTAGCAATTGAAGAAAACTTTGGATTCTTTCATGTCTCATCAGCAATGCATCGGATAAATAGAATACCATATTATAAAATAGTTGATTATTGGGTAAAAAAAAATCCATTGTTGCCTAAATTATTTTTTTAGCAATCGATTGTTACATACCAAACAATCGGTTGCAATTTTGATGAAATTTGTAAAAAGGAGTTATTAATTCAGTAAATTTAGTTATTAATTTTAAACAAAAAATGGATTAAATTAGTTGATAAATATTTTTTAAGTAATCATTATTCAATCCTATATTAACAAATGATTTATTTAATTGATTAAAATTTATTTTTTTCAATAAAAAAAATTTAAATTTAAATCCCATCAATAATTTATTAAAATTATTTTAAATAACTATTTATAATTATTTATATATTATTATTAAATACGATATATATTATTTTAATATAAAAATTAAATAATTTATCTATCTTTAAATTTTTCGCAACTAACTTAATATGGCAGCTTAGATATTCTAATAAATCTTACTAGAATTATATGTGAATGTGACTTAATTTTATAATACTTTAATATGATTATAATTTTTAATTTTAAAAATAATAAAAATAAATTCGTCAAAAACCGTGAACCGGCAACTGATCACTCTTCCCCCACCGACAACTCCCCTTGCTTCTTCTTCCTCTTCCGTACAATATAAACAGAGCGGGCCCTCACTCCACTCGGTCTCGACTCAGCGCCCGAGAGAAAAAAGCGCAAAGTAACTTCATTTCATTGCAAGAAACTTAAAACCAAAAGTTTCATCGATTGTCTGAAACTTACTTTTCATTCGGTCATCGAAGAACCCAAAACAAAGCTTTGGTAAGTTCGAAGCTGTTTTATTTTGTTTTTTTGCTGTTATTTTCCTTCGTTTTTAATGGTCTTTCTCGTTGCCTTTTTTGCATTACAGTTTTTTTTTTTTGGTTGTCGTTTTGTTCCTTCTTCTTTTGTCGTTTGTCGTTACTTCTTCTTCTCCTTCTTCAACGTCTTTCTTCTGTTAGTAGCTGAGAACATTGGCAACACGTAAAAGTCGAAAACTGCATTTTCTCTGTTTTCTTTGCATTGAGAAATGGTCTGAATACTTTTATCTTGTCTTGCTGTGTTTGAATTTTCATTGTCCAAATAAATATTTCTCTTTCTAATCTCTTCGTTTATTTTGTCTGCTCTGTTTCACTTCCAATTTCAAGGTTTTTTTTTTCCCGTAGTAAATGTTTGAATTATTTGTTGATCTTTAGATGTTTGAAGTTTTTCAAATGGTGGCTGCTTAGCTGCAATTATCAAATGTTTGCTCTGTTTTTTGTTAAACAAAGAAAAAACAAGTCTGAGGAGATGAATTTCGATCAACTTTCGTGTGGTTTGGGTTCTATATTCGTAGTTGATTAAGATCTATGATAGTAAGAGAAAACTATGTCGGTTTAATCATGTATATTGACGATTTTGAATAGTAAAAAAAAAAAAAAGAGCTATGTCCATTTCAATCATGAAATCTTGAAAGCCTCCGCCATGGGTCAGAAAAGAGAGATTGCGACTGAAGAGTAAAGTTAGCTTAGTTGCTCATCTGCGTTTGTTCGTCCACTTTGTTGCGTATATGTTTTTTTTTTTTTTTTCCTTTATTGGGTTATAGTTCCAGTGTCATGTACAACACTGTCTTTTTATGATTCCTTTTGTAGGCTATCTTTTACTTAGTTGATAATATTATATACCAAGGAAATTTCTTTTGAAAAATGCTTCATTAACCTTTCTGAATTCCTTTTGGGTCATTTCAAATCGTGGTTTTGATGAAGAAAAAGCGTTTAACTTTTTTGTACTGCTGGAAATAGATGGCAAGAACGTCTTGGTGTTTTTTCTTCTCTGATTTGAATTTTGGGTTTGATGCATCATTATCTTGCAATAGAAGAATATGGGTATCATAGTAAAGAGGTATTGGAAAATGCATAATTTTTTCTGATTTAGACATTTTTTGAGTGCCACAGAGCAGGGGATATTACCTTTTAGAATTGTTTTAACACTTAACTTTATGGGCCGATGTTATTTATCCCTTATTTTCATCTACAGTTATACAATGGTGAATTTAACCATTAATTTTGAGCTGTAAGTTTTTATCATTAATATTAGTTGTGAAAAACACATCTTTAAAAGTTTTTAAAAAGGAAATTTAAACGAATTTTCCTTTGCTTGAGGTTGATAAAATCTAACTTATAATTTTTCTGGTTGTTTCCCTTGAGGTTAGTCTGTAAATTCTTCTGCCTTAAATTTTACTAGTTTCTTTATTGCTATAATTTGTGTGGCTGATGTTTCATGGTTGACAAGAAGCTTGTGGAATTTGAACTTTACAGAATCTATAACTCTAATAATTTGGCCCATGCTGTAGGCATCATATTGTTGAATGGATTGCATGTTCTGCGCATTGTTATTGGTTTCCTCTCTGTTGCCTGCTTTTCATCTTCCTGCTCTTGCTGCCTGTGTTTTTAAACTTAAACTCTGATTGGATGCAGGGCTGCGTAAGTGAGACGATGCTGAATTAATATTCTTAGTTTCATAAGATTATTATCTGTTACTTTCTATGTGCTCTTAGAGCAGTCCGCCATTTTTTGGTGTCCAATACCATGAATAAATAAAGCACATGTATGTTTTTTGCTTGGTGAAGTGCAGCTGATTTAGCTAATATCAAGTGACAGATAAGTCCATAGTGATGACCCTGGCTACTCTTTTATGCAGAGGCACTCAAGTGAGAAAAGGGATAGAAGAAGATTGTTCTGCCCCTTGAATGAGGAGTAGGTCACTTCATGACATTCAATTAACGAGTTTTGGTAGGAATATCAGTTGCTGTTTTCTCCCTTATCACAGCTTCTTCATTAATTGTAGTTAAAAAGTGAATTGACTTCAAGTATGAAAGAGACTGGCAAGAGGAAAAATTTAGCTAATGTCCAATCAAAGCGCTCTGGAATAAGTGAAAGGAGAAACAATAAACCACAAAAAGAGAATGGTGGAAAAACTTTGAGGGCTAAAGAAACTGAATCCAAAGCTTTAAAAGCTAGATCAGACACTACTTCTTTAGTATGTGATTCAAATGTGGGCTCTGAGCCCACTGAAGTTTATGAAAACGTGGTTATACATTATGTGGATGATGTTAACAGGTCTGAAGAAACATATCAAGATCCAAAAGTTAATGCAATGACAACTAAAGTAAAAAAGGATGAAATTTTAGATGATCACTCCGGTGATCTGGAGGGAGAAACAAGTCAGGGAAAGGAAGAAGAATCAGATTCTGAGACGATAAAAGATTCAGCATCATCTCAAGGAGATTCCTTGACAGCTGAGGATGAGAAACAAGAGAGTGTTTCCGGAGTTTCCAATAACAACCTCTCAGATAGCTTTTCCCATGGTTCCAGAATGGGATCTGAGCGTGAAACTAATAAATTGCACTCAAAGGTATTGAATAGTACTCCTCAGAAATCTACAAAATCTAATGGAGGGCTTCCTAAGGATGCTACCAGTAGTTCCTTAGAAAAAAATTCCAAAACCTTGAAAGTTTCTCCTAAACCTCCATCTGAGTCTTTAGAAGGATCTAATGACAAGCATGCTGAAGAGGTAAAAGAAATTGCTGTTTTGGATGAGACATCAAATGGCACTCAAATTTTTGGAAGTGACAATGAGCCTGTTGATGCCGAAGACAAATTTCAAGTTGCAGATGAGGCTGCTTTAAGTGAAAAGATAGAAGAGATGGAGACAAGAATTGAGAAACTTGAAGCAGAGCTGAGAGAAGTAGCTGCCTTGGAAATTTCTCTTTATTCTGTTGTTCCAGAGCATGGGAGTTCAGCACATAAAGTGCACACACCTGCTCGACGCCTTTCTAGACTCTATATACATGCTTGCAAACATTGGACACAAAACAGGCGATCCACAATTGCTAAAAACACAGTCTCTGGGCTCATTTTGATTGCGAAATCTTGTGGTAATGACGTTTCAAGGTACGTAAATTATAATCAGATGTTATTTTGAGAGTGCTTCAGAATGTTGCCATTTACAGTTGACAGCTGAATAATTTTCTGCTTTTGTATTTTAAGGTTAACCTTCTGGTTATCAAACATCATAGTGCTGAGGGACATCATTTCTCAAGCATTTGGCAATTCATGCAACTCAAGTCCACATACACGGCTTGCTGAGTTCAATGGCAGTAACAAAAGCAGTGAAGTAAAGTCTACAACTCTAAAATGGAAAGGTGGTGGTGGTATTAAACAAGTTAATGGTTTTGTGCAGCTTGTTGATGATTGGCAAGAGACAGGAACCTTCACATCTGCACTAGAAAAAGTGGAATCTTGGATATTCTTTCGAATAGTTGAGTCAGTATGGTGGCAGGTGAATGGTTGAACTTGTCAAATTTATTAATAAAGGAACAGTGTTATTCAAAACATGGTGGTGATCTAATTGATACATTTCGGTTTTGTGGTCTCTAAATTACAAATAAGAGAAGGAATTTCATGTATGTTCCTCATTTCAGGCTCTTACTCCTTATATGCAACCTCCTCTTGAGGGTTCATCTGTCAGCAAAACAAGTGGAAAGATGTTGGGGCCAGCCTTGGGTGACCAACAGCAGGGAAGTTTTTCTATCGACCTATGGAAAAATGCTTTCCAAGATGCTTTGCAACGAATTTGTCCTGTTAGAGCAGGAGGTCATGAGTGTGGTTGCTTGCCAATTATAACAAGAATGGTATGTACTTATACGTGTTTGCTCTCTGCAAATTTTAAACAGTAGTACAGTGAATCTTGATTTTTTTTTCTTCTCTTTTTTCTGGAGAGCTAATTAATGTATCTTCTTTAGGTTATGGAACAGTGTGTTGCAAGGCTAGATGTAGCAATGTTCAATGCTATTCTTCGGGAGTCAGCCCATGAGATCCCAACAGATCCTGTATCTGATCCTATTGTAGATTCAAAGGTTCTGCCAATACCAGCTGGAGATCTTAGCTTTGGATCTGGTGCTCAGTTAAAAAATTCTGTATGTATTATGTTAGTAAACTTGTTTTCTTGATTTCCATGGTATATCCAGTTGGGTGCCAGTTCTTTCGCCAAGCTTCTTATGTTACAAGAGGCAATTAATGTTGTAAATCTAAATAATTCATGCACTCTTTATATTGATTCTGTGGTTCTCATTTTTCACTGAAACATTGCCTCGGAGAGATTTGCATTACCCAGTTGGTAGCTGGTCCTGTGGTATACTGCTATGGTTTACATATAGCGGTAGCTGTGATAAAGTATGCTTCATTCTCTGGAAAAGTATGGTGTAGAAAATGTCAAAATATTTTCAGGTAGATGTTTAGCTAGTTTGATTAAACGGGACATGATATGGCAGATGCATTACCAATGGAAAGATCTAAGCAGCTGAGAAAATGTATATAAAAGGGCATTTTATGTATGCTGAGAAATATTTTGCCAATTAAAATATCTAAAGATGCTGCATGACATGACTTCTTACATTCTTTTTAGGAAGTCCTCAATTTATGCTATATATGATACTTCTATGTATTTTTTTGGTGAAGCAATACTAACTGTTGGAATGGTTTCCGTCTGCTCCCTGATTGCAATCGAAGATGGATAAAATAATTGGGGATTTCAGTATCTCCCCCAATCGATGTAACACATTTCATATTAGTTTTTATATGGAAAAATTATATGCCAGTTCTTATAGAGGGATGCTTATTTTGCAGGTTGGTAATTGGTCTAGTTGGCTGACTGATATGTTTGGCATGGATAGCGATGATGTTTTAAAAGAAGACCAGCATAACAGTCAAGATGATTTCAGACAAAACGGAGATGACGAATGTAAATCCTTCCTTTTTCTTAATGCCCTGAGTGATCTTCTAATGCTTCCGAAGGACATGTTAATGGACTGTTCAATCAGAAAGGAGGTTGATTTCTAATTAAAGCCTTGCCATAATATGAACCTATTAGTAAATTATTTTTCTGGTGTCTTTGATGGTGGTTCCTCCCTAACTTTTTTGACTATTTTATTTTCATGGCCTCAGGTGTGCCAACCAATAGGTCTTCCGTTGGTTAAACGCATTCTCTGCAACTTCACTCCTGACGAATTTTGTCCTGATCCTGTTCCAGGAGCCATACTGGAAGCCCTGAATGCTGAGGTATGACTGGTTCAGGGTTTTCTTGTTCAACACATTTATTCATCAGACTTTTTAGTAACTATTTGGTAACCTTTTCTGGAAATGCTAGTTGCTGAAACTGCTTTAAACCTTATCTGTGGTCCATCTCACAACTTGCTCCTTACTTGTTTTTTGGCTTTGGGGTTTACCTTGCTAGTAAGTCCGTAAAGTTGATGATAACTGTTAAACTTTATAGGTGGGGGGGGGGGGATGGAGGTAAGTCGATCTATCTGAATAATAATTAAATGCCATGTGACTCAATTCTCAATCTTGGCTTTGCATATGCTATTTGTGTGTCATGTGTTGTTAGACTTAATCTTGCCTTTAACCGGCAAAACAGAGAAAAGTTGCCAGGTTTTTAATTTATGGTTCTTTCATTTATTAGAGTATTGTTGAGCGGAGATTATCAGGGGAGTCGGCTAGAAGTTTCCCTTATACAGCTGCCCCTGTTGTCTATAGTCCATTCTCAGCAGATGTCACAGAAAAAATTGGGGAGGCAAGAGGGAAGCCGAAGCTATGTAGGAAAGCATCAGTGGTACAGAGGAAAGGATATACCAGTGATGAGGAACTGGAGGAATTGAATTCCCCACTAACATCAATAATGGAGAAATTGCCATTATCTCCAACAATTGTTGAGAATGGATGTCTAAATGGAAAACATGAGCATCAAGGCTATAGTGTCGTAAACGCAAGATACGAACTCCTCCGGGAGGTATGGTCTGCGTGAGTGTTTTAAGTTAGTTCTTTGTGTATATTCTTGTATGGTTAATTCAGTTATTGGAATTATAAACCCAGAAGTTTAATATTTTCTCCCATTTTTGCATTCAATAAAACTCGTTCCTTTTGCTGTTTTATCTCTTATGTTGGTTCACCTATCAAACTGGATTCTTCATCAATGTAGTGCAAAGATTCAACGAACGAGTTTGCGAGCATATTCTCTTAAAAAAGGCACTGGATTCTCTTAAAAACAGAAAAGAAACATACACTCCTAAACATGATTAACATTTCAATAAGCATAATCTCATCCATCAGTTCTTTTCCTCTTTCAAGCTTAATTCTGCAATTATTTGCCAGACATGGCATCGCAATTGCATAAGATAAAAGTCAGCTATTTGGAGTTCATTATTAGGTTTACAAAAACTTTATAACCGAAGACCCCATTTGTATTTTGGTTCAGCCATAAACCTTACTATACAACTAGAGGCACAAGGGTCAGAGTTCATGAAGTACTTGCAAGCAACTGGAAAGAAGATCCTGTTCACCATTTTCAGTATCTCCTGGGACTGGGTTTTCCACCACAGCAGCTCCATTGTCTGCGAATTTGTCACCATGGCATCCTGTAGCATTATTCTTAATCTCCATTGGGCTTGTTGTTTGAAAATTATTAGGGTTCTGATGCAGGTTCTGGGTGGTAACATCGTCAGTCGGGTTCAAGTTAAAAGAATCCTGTTCCAGAAGGCCTAACAGGCTCTGAAAGGTCTCACACTGCTGCATCTCTTGGATTCCGTCTGATAATTCTTTATTGAAATTATCGTATGCTGATGCCACTGCTGAACAACCTTCCATAGCCCCATTAGCTGGAAATAATCCTCCCTTGTAGTTACCAGTAAACTCTCTGTCAGTTTCCAAACAATTTCCCAAGCCAATCACCGCATGATTTTCCTGAAACTCTAGAGGGTTTTGATCATAACCTTGCATAAAGGGGAAGCTTGAATTTTGATGCTGGTTCTCGGGGGCAGATAAGTCCCGTGGGAATCCAAAAGGCTGCGTTGCTTGAATCCCCTTCTCTAATCGACCAGTGTAATTATTCTCACCACTCCCTGAAATTGTAAACTGTCCATCCAGATCCATATTACAAGGAAAGTCCTCATTGAAGTTAAAGTTTCGATTTCCATCAGTGCTCATATCAATTTCAAAGCTGTTGGATCCTTGAATTAGAGTGGGATTAATCTGAAACCCTTCAGAATTCCGGAAGCCAAGGAGAAGAGAGGAGTTAACAATTCGGTTCAGGTCCTGGTTGGAATGGTCTAAATTCTGCTGATGCTGCAAGTTAGGATGATCTTCTGGAGCGAGTAGGTTTTGAAACTCTTCAGAGGACATTGATAGTAGGTCCAGATCAGGGCTGCCTGAATCATCTTCTTCAAGATATACAAAAGAAATTTTCCCATTGGCATTTGTTTTCTTTCTAATAACATCGTCCACCGAAGACTCCGGCAATTGCTTAGAAGCTCCCTTACCAATTGGTAGCTTTGCACTTTGAAGAATGCTCATCAGATCATACTCATATATATCAAAATTGGTAATAGCGTTTGTACCTTTGAGCCTAATGGCTGCAACATCATAAGCCCTAGCTGCTTCCTCTTCAGTGTCTGTTTAAATATTGAAAAAAAAGAAGTACAAGACATTTGAACCTTAAAAATTGAAACTACTAACAAAAAATTTCTAGCTAGATTTAGTTTCACAATTGTTTAATTTATAATGTAATTTTCTACAAGTAATTCACTTTCAGAATGCCATATCTAAAGTTTTATTCTCAGGGATTTGTTCCCTTCTTTTATTACAACCTATAAGCAATTAATTGTTTGTTAAAGTATCTTAATCTGTTTTGGTAATTGAAATTATTAGGATTTGAATCCTAACCATAGGAACTAAGAACCTAGCACTCTGTCTACCCAACAAACTGACCTGTTGGCCAAAGGTGTCTTAATAATTATAATCATTATATCATTTTTTTTATCAAATAATGAAATGAGTTAATTCGTTCCATAAGAAAAGAAATAATTAAGTTGGGATTAGTCCTTACCAAATGTTCCTAGGTAAATTCCTCTGATCTCTTTCCCTTTTCCAATTCTTGCTTGCCATTTCTTCAAATCTGAGTTCCTGCTGAGTGATTTCTCATGAGAGAGGAAAAAAGAAGAATAGAATAGGTGAGGAGGAGGAGGGGATATATATATATATATATATATATATATATTTATATATTTATATATTATTACCTGGAGACTCCACGATAATTCGAAACACCCTTTGCAAAGCCTTTGCTTTTTCTGAAATTAGGTGAAGTTTAAAGCCATGACACAAAAACCAAAAAGAGTTTCAAGTCACAATGAATTCCAGAATATGATGAATCAATTCATTTTTAGTAATGGATCATTGAGCACCAAGGAAAATGAGCAAACCTTTCGATTCACTTCCAAGAATATAATGCCAATTGAAATAATTTCAAGTAACTTGAAACTTACCTTCTTATGTTGCGAAAATATTCTTCTTTCGAGTAAAACTGCATCTCTTCCAAATCCTTCTTATAGTCACTCATCTAGAGATACATGAAGAAATTTTAGTTTCTAATTAAGCATTCATTAATCGATCAAACCTGTAAAATAGATGCTGTGAAAGGAAGCATACTGGGAAATTTAGCATCGCGAATTTGCCCCATAACTTGAGAGCAGCTAAATCATAAGCCCTTGCTGCAGACTCTTCATTATCATATCCACCTGTCAAACCAAATGAAGTTTCAAAAATCTTGTCTCCAAAAACAATAGTACTTCTTCCATTGGGAAAGAAGATCTTTTCATGCTAGCATAATACTCCAATTGTCCTTCATTTTTGCAGGAAGTGCATAAGCTTTGAAAGGAAAACATGTTTGCACACCAGTGACTGTTACAGGATTTTTTTTTTTTTAATATATATAAAAACTGCCTACGAATTTATCAGTTTTGTCGATGAAAAGGGTTTTTGTTTAAAATTTTTGGAGTTTTCGTGGAAAAATTTTACTTCAAAATTTCTTATTTTCTAATCTTTGGATATCCGTGGACACCCTACTTCAAAGCATGGATCCGCCTTTGTTGCACTCATGCTTTTGAGTAGGGTACTCAACATATCTTCCCCTCACACCTCAGAACTTTTTTCCTTCATTTGTGCATGCCGGATTGGAGATGTAGGAAGATTAAAAGCCTGAATAAGGCGTAGATGAATTGTTTCAAGAAGAAGCTGAGGAACCACTTTTTTTTGTTGGGATTTACATGTTAAATAAGTTAAAAAGTGGCATTGAATGATCGATCACTCACCTATATAAACTGCAAAGTATAGAAGGACGAGGAAAAAGAACAAAAGGGTTAGTAATTAATTAGATGGTGATAACCAGGAAAAAAAAGATACAAACCAGAAAAACAGAACAGAAAACTAGATAATTTGAGTGACCTGTCTTTGGTTTTAGTCTTGGATCACTGTTATCCCACAAATATGTCTCGTATCGACCAGTGTATCTGCATCAAATTCGATGTCATCCTTCGATTTCAATCATATATAAAATACTTGAATACGTATGCATTAACTTAAATAACATGGATTGAATGAGACCTGCTTACTCCCCGGTAAGTTGAGAGGCCAGAAGTCCGCTGCTCCGGCCTTGGCTGACGCCTTCTCTTACATTCGTTACTCGTATTTTCATTATTTCCACCAGATTTCTGAGTACCGTTATCCTTATCACTGCCAAGGAATTTGTTCAGTTGATGATCAAATACACACAAAACTTAAATACATCATTAAGAAGATTGAATAATGTGATATCTAACCTTGTTTCTTCTGCTTGTTTTTGCTTCTTTGTTCTATTTCTAGGCTTCCTTTTGACACTGCTGGATTTGATATTGCTTGCTTCACCACTTCCAATACTCATTTCCTTGGCATTTTGCTCCACAGGAGTGAAAGAGTTTGTCATCTCTTGAGACATACTACAAGGGAATTGATGGGGATTTTGAAGTAGCAATGCAGTTCCATGCTGCAAACGATACTGATCAGGCAATGTGGCTGGAATTTGGTTCGCTTGAAGAAGATTGCTAAGCAAACCAGAGCCTTCATGAGCATCAGGAGAGTAATTTGGCTGGGCCATATTTGGGAACAGACCATGGTTTTGGAGCAATAAGTTATCCAAAGTACCATTCATGGATATTGTATTAGAATCTTCAAACTGTGGAACTAACTGAGTTTTCAGAGGAATGGACATTGGGCTGAAGCTGGGAAGATGCAGGTTTTCATCAAAGTTTGGTGAACTCATGTTAATAGATGGGAGAATTATCCTGCAAAATATGAAAATCAACAATAATCAGAGAAATTTTGAATAATTGAAAAATAAAAAAATGTAACAAATAAGAAGTATTATCATCCCTAGAGGATACAATTGATTAACCCCTCAGCCATCCTTGCATAAATTAAACATGTTTGGGATCTTTACTCATTAGTAACAATTTTCCCTTTCTATGTTTAAAAATAAGAAATATATGCATGTAGTTTTAAATTTGATCATAAGACTCAAAATTTTTATTTAAAGATTATTTATCTATGTTCAAATTTCTAGCACCTACAATCACTCTTGTATCCCATATTATTGCAAAAAAAAAAAAGTATTAAAAAAGAAAAGAGTCAAACTTATAGATTAATAGATGACAACACACCATGTAGTATTAAAGAGGAGGCAAACAGTTCAATAAATTTCATCACATAAAATTTTTTATCTATGATAAACAAAAAAAATCTAATAAAATCTACGTGGCATTCAAAATTTATATAATTACTATCATAACGGTTGACTAAAATATCATCTTAAAGATTATCATGTAACGAACATTCTAAAATGATAATTAAATACTATTTAAATTGTTTTACGACGTGAAATATGTTTAAAATATATACATACAAACATTTTTACTATCACGATTATACTTGATATTTTCATCCACAAGAATACAATGATTAAAAATATTCTACAACTCACCAAATGAATATACATAGAGATATAGATTTGGGCATCAAGAAAATTTACAACTAACCAAGGAAGAAATATATAGTTTTTGACTATCACTATATCTCGATTATACTTTGATATTTTCATCTACAAGAATATAATGATTAAAAATATTCTACAACTCACTCACATGAATATACGTAGAGATATAGATTTGGGCACCAAGAAAATTTACAACTAACCGAGGAAGAAATATAATATGTCAAACGCCAACGCTTGAAGGCAATGAAACATGCATGGCCAACTCTCTTTA